TGACATTACAGAAGACATGTTACTTGCTGATCGAACGAGGGAATATAAGGAATGGACTCAGAAAGTTCGCATTATCTCTTGGGTTATCTATCATGGTCACACTGATATTTTAGAATACATTTTGAAGGTTGCCAAAGAAAATCGTGTGGATACCAGGGAAGCTCTATTCATGGGAACTTCAACCCCTGAGACAGAAAAAGAAGCAAGCAGATTACTGGTTCTTGCATGTTATGGAGGCAATGAAAAAATTGTGAAGCTTCAGCTTTCAAATGTGAAAGCTGAAAATGTTAATCAACATTCAAAGCGATATTGTACCTCTGATATTTATCATGGAGATACTCCTTTAACTGCTGCTTGTCGACGTGGACACTTCTCGGTGGTTAAACATTTAGTGGAGGCCGTCAATCAAGTCAATGCTTTCAATGAGTCTCCTTTACGCGCAACGTTAGAATCTAAGAATCTTGTACTGATCAAATTTCTTCTGGAGAGAAAATCATCCCTAAGTAAATCTAAATTGATACATTCAAAAGAACAACCAAATATAAATTTGCTCGATTTGTTTATAGAAAATGGAAAATCAGACGTTGGGAATCTAATGCAGATGGCGTCAAAACCTGGTAATTTAACCTCTGTCAAGTATCTTCTGAATAGCTTGACATATAATGATCAACAACATAAATTTAAAACTACATCTTCACTGATTGCTATCAAACATGGCCATCAAGAGGTGGTTAAAGCTTTAATGGAAGTTGTGCAGGTTCAGATGGTACTTCAGCGCTTAATGTTGCTGTAAATGAAGGAAACCTTGACATCGCAAGCGATCTTATTAGGCAATTCAAAATATGCAAAAACATGGAATCACGAAGCGTCAATCAAGTCAATGCTTTCAATGAGTCTCCTTTACGCGCAACGTTAGAATCTAAGAATCTTGTACTGATCAAATTTCTTCTGGAGAGAAAATCATCCCTAAGTAAATCTAAATTGATACATTCAAAAGAACAACCAAATATAAATTTGCTCGATTTGTTTATAGAAAATTGAAAATCAGACGTTGGGAATCTAATGCAGATGGCGTCAAAATCTGATAATTTAACCTCTGTCAAGTATCTTCTGAATAGCTTGACATATAATGATCAACAACATAAATTTAAAACTACATCTTCATTGATTGCTATCAAACATGGCCATCAAGAGGTGGTTAAAGCTTTAATGGAAGTTGGTGCAGGTTCAGATGGTACTTCAGCGCTTAATGTTGCTGTAAATGAAGGAAACCTTGACATCGCAAGCGATCTTATTAGGCAATTCAAAATATGCAAAAACATGGAATCAGACTTAAAGCCACTTGTCCACGCTGCTAAATCAGGCAATTCTACAATTTTGAAAGAGTTGCTAATTACCTGTCCAAAGGTAAAATGTAAATATTTAGCTAAAAAATTTCTCTCCTTGACGTTATTTCAAAAGGTTATGTCAAACTTGCGATTTTGATGATTAAGCATGGAACAAACGTCAACAAAGAAGGTTATTGCAGATGAACTCCATTATATGCCGCATTGGAACATGATATCTTTGCAGTTGTGCTCGCTCTGATCTGTGCGGGAGCAAAATGTAATGTGCAAGTAAATAAATACAAGTATTTCCCACTCTATATAGCATCAAAGAATGGTCACCTTGAAGTCGTCAAATTGTTAATTAAAGCGGGAGCAAACTGAAAAATGAACACGGAGAAAGTTTTACATCTCTAATGATAGCAGTTTTGGAAAACAAACCTGAAATTGCAAGATGTTTGGTCGATGCTGAGAATTCGAAAGAAAACTTAAGTGGAAACTATCATCTTTTTGAAATTTTGAAAAGTTTTGAACGCGCAGATTTTCATCTGAACGTGTTTGACGACATTGTACATGTACCAAAAAGAAAATATGGTCTTCTTGTTTGGATAGAAGGAGAAATGATGGAACATATCATTAGTAAAGACGTACGACATCTCCGTTATATATTAGACCTTGGCACTAAGCCAAATAATATGCTAGTTATATATATGATGATTCTCGAGATAAAACTTGGAAGCAATCATTTTTATCCATCCTTATAGATAAATGGCTCATAGCAACACAGAGAATTAAAAAGATTGAATTATTAGTCGAAAGAGGAGCTAAATTTAATGTCAATGATCTTCGTTATTACCCAGGTTGTCAGTGTGATTCCTCTTTCCCAGATGTGATGAATGAAGTTCGATGCCACATCAGAAGAAATTCGATTTAACCAAATGTACAGAAGTATAATGAATATCCAGAAATTAGAAAAGCTTCATCTCTTTGACATAGTCTTTGTAGAAAAAAAATCAGTACACTGGAACTCGAATATATAATAGATTCATATAGCATTAAATCGCTTGCATGTAATTGTGTGCTTGTAATACCCATTCAACCATTACATTATAATATGGTGAGGGTGCAACCGTTAAGGCAAGTGCAGATACTTATTTAGGTTCAATTTAGAACGGGCTCGTTAAACTGCATGTGAAATTTGGTGCGTTTAAACTTTATGTCACATGGCGTCGAATGTATGTCGAATTACCAAACCAAAGCCTGAAAACTGCCGATTTAAATGAAAATCCGTGTTACTGACATATTTTTCAATATATTTACATTTCCAATAAATTTCCCATATGTTTCTTTACAAAATAAAATGCAGTTAATTTTCCCATGAACTACATCACATATGTACCACGAATAAGCATTAATATCTCCATTGTTACGTCACAAAACCGCACTTGGCGTCAAAAAAATATAGTGCGCACTGTCTTGCTTTAAAAATGACAGTTGAATGACCTAAATTTATGACAAGGCATCAGAAAAATGATGTAAATATAAGAAATGAATTTAAAATTTTTGAAGATTCATGAGGTATATGAACTACATGTACAACGCTTCACACCGGCATATTTATCATGAAGCGCTAACGCGCTTCATGAAACATTCCGGCGTGAAGCGTCGTAGTTCATAACCTCATTAATTTTTCTTGTCTTCTTTGCCCTCTTTGTTATCTCACCTGAGCCGTAGGCTTAAGTTAGCTTTTCTGATCAAAATTTGTCCGTTGTCTGTCGTCGTCGTAGTCGTCGTTGTTGTCGTTGGCGTTGTTGTAAACTTTTTACATTTTCATATTTTTCTCAAGAACCACTCCACCAATTTCAACCAAACTTGCTACAAATTACCTTTGGGTAATGAGGATTGAATGTTGTTCAAATGAAGGGCCATGCCATCATTCAAGGGATACAGTTGTAATTGTGAATTAATGAAAAATAATGTCATTTTTTAAAAAATCTTCTTCTCAAAAACCACTGGGCCAGGAAATATGAAAATCAAGTGGAATCATCCTCAGGTAGTTAACATTCAAGTTTGTTCAAATCGTGACCCCCGGGGGTAGGGTTGAACCATAGCTTTTACTCAAAAAAATTTTATGGGCAAAATTAATTTAGAAAATTTATAAAAATACCTACATCTAACTTCAAACATGTCTCATGTGACTTGATTCTGGCCTTACGCATGTGTCAAAATTTAATTCGAATAAGCTTCGCTAAGCGTTCACACGGATTTAATGCAAAGTACTTAAATGCACATTTAACTACTCTGAAATAAACCTATTCGCATTAAATGCTCCAGGTGGACGCACTTCAAATTAAATTTGCAGTAATTTACGTTTAATTCGAATTAATCTCTCCGTGTGAGCAGGTTATAAGATGCGATGTATAAGTCACGTCTAAAGTGTCATGTTCATGTCCACGTTACTACAAAACTCGACGTTGTTTTTTTTGCTTTTTATTTATCTAGGTAAATGTTTATAGATAAAATTTAACATTTATAAAGATATAAGCATTAAAAGTTGATGAAAACTTTCCATTCGTTTATTAAATGTTTTATAGCATTTGTAATTAGTTTGATATTCGTATGTGTAGCATAGCTTTACATTCTTTTTAGTACCTAAATTTATACTTATTCACAAATACATTATGAAAAAGTGCTCTGTGCATGCTTAAGACACATGATTTTCAAACATAATTAAGACTTTTAATCTTCTTAATTCTGAAATCAGGTAATAATAACACATTTTAACTATTCATTAGCATCAATTGCATTATTTCGATTATTGCAAGTGAGTTTTAATTCATTATTTCTTGCTTAACGTCCGTCTCAAGAATTTTCTCACCAAAGAATAAATCGCCAGTGGAATGCTAAAAAACGTTTACTTATACATGTACTCGGCACTCAGAGCAATTTAGCAGTGAGGGATCTTTTTTGTACGTACACTTACTGGGACACAGTTTATAAAGTTTTATCTGAAGAACCGGTCCTTGTCCCGCAGTAGATTCCAACCCCATCACTCCTTACTCTAACCACTTCGCCACGCGGGAGACGATTTGTGCTTTTGATGTAGGATCCGTCATTGTCTAGATTCTGGTCCATACAAATAATTTTACAGAAGCTTAACCGATACTTGCCAATTTAAATCATATGAAAAGTTAAGATTGAAACAGACAAACAGACGGACAGACATACGGACGTAGAACAAAATATGCTCAGAAGAGTTCATTTGAGCTCTTAGCTCAGGGGAGCTAAGGAAAAAAATAAGATTTTTCATACGATTTATTTATTAAAAATATGAATGCATTATCTTCACAATTCTAATGTATGAACAAGCAAATTGCGCTAAAATATGTTCGGAATAATTTGTTATCATGTACATGTAGACAAAACATGAAATGATGCAAAAGACCATGAAAAATTCAAACAAAATCCAATTCAGAGAAGTGACAACAATATAGAGCTATAGAGGGAAAAAACTTTACGTGAAAATAAGAAAAAAAAGATCCATAAAGGTTGCCAAAGAGCATAAATATTTTATTATTTAATGTTAAAACAAAAAAATGCAGTTAAAATAAAAGTATTGTTTTTAATTGCCCTCCTTCCTATCCGACTGGATGCCCCCCCCCCCCCCCAACCACCACCACCACCGCCATTAAAGTTGACGATCATCACCGGATATCTTGATACCGTGAAAGCAAAAGAAGCTACGCAAGACAAACATAACATATTATGAAAACAAAAGAGTAATAACTTACAGGTACATATATGTACAACGGCTCTATGTAGGCTTACCGAGTATATTTGATAAAAGTTTGTTAAAACCTGTTGAAAAACAGGGTTTTTTGGATACTATTAAGTCTTGAAATCAATCTCCGAAAACAAATTTATTCCCTGATGAAAAAAAAAAAGATTAAACATTTTTAACTAATTAAAAAATCCCTCAATGTCCCCCTTTAGCTCACTATAAAATCTTTCCCAATCCTTCTCTACTAATGTGACCAAATATTTAATCCCGTACAAAATTTTCTCCTCCCAAGTTAATCTACTAAAATAATTTTTGAAATATAACGATTCAAAATCACGCTTTTTGCCAATTCGGTCGATCATAAAGCCAGACGTTCGGCAAACCGCAGAAGCAATTTCATTATTAAAGAAATTCAGTGCCTCTAACACTTCTTGAACAAATGGAATTTCTTCGGCCACTTTCTTAAAAAACGACAAGATCGTGTTCTTAAAAAGTTCCACTGAGAGCCCTACTAACTTGTTGAAGAAAGGATGATTGATAATTCTTTCAGCAAGAGATCCAGCTCTGATAAAGTTTCTTGATATTCCGAGAGAGGGGAAGAGAACACTCTCAATGAAGTACTCTTCTCCCAGATGAAGGGCGTGTATCACTGTGTTGTTGCATTGCCAACTAAAAGCATTTGTTTCTCTGATTGAAGCTCCTGCAAAAGATATTAAATAGGTCATATATTGATGCTAACAATGTCAGTACTGTTCATGGAATATACTTCTTTCAAGCAAAACAATATGAAATATTTAATAAGATCCAGTATTACAGTAAGATTCGTTTGCAACAAGGTGAAATAACAATGTAATAATATATTAAATCAACCTCAATGACAAGGCAAATATTATGTGCCTTATGTTATATATATACATAAATACCTTCCGAAATGCAGCAAGCTGATAACATGCCAACCAGCAAAAGAACAAAACCATTAAATGTCTTCATTTTTGTGTTTTCAGCTAAATAAAACGACAAAACTAGAAAAATTAATTTGAAATAACCAGATGCGGTGTTAAATTCAGGAGGAAATCTTGATACTCATATAAAAGATTTTTTTTCTATTTCTTTTCTCATTGTATTAGATAATATTTAGATAAATAAAGTGTAATGAATGTAAAGTAATGTGCCTTACCTTAAAATTATAGAAGAATCTAAGAACCTCTAGGTGTTGTACGGAATGAAAAAACTAGCAACTTTGAATCTCATGATTATGACTTGCATGTATTTTTAGACTGTCTGTGTGGAGGAAATCCAGTTTCCAGCAGAAAGCTATTTATAGCCCATTCAACAAAAAACTCTGACGAGAATAAACATTATTTAATCGACAGGAAGATTCAAAAGCGTAGTTAGTCAATAGAGAAAAAAATTTAAATCGTCCATTTATAATCTATTAACTATAGAGGCTGCCGAGACGTTCATTATTGTAATATATGAAAAATAATATACAACCCTGTGTTTAAAAAAAATGACTTTATTCAAATATATATAGACAAAGTTCTGGAGGATCTGACATCTATGAAACACTTTGTTGATTAGTCGTACATTTATAATGAATTGTCTGTTAAGTATTAGTTCTCTATATCCGTTATAAGCGATCATTGTCAAATAAATGATTTCAAACAAAGGATATCAATATTTTGAATGAATTTGAACTCAATTTTTAGTGCTTATAATTATACCAGGTGAACTACTTTTTTATCTATATACATTTATTTACATTTGCTGATGTCTTTCCTGATAAAACAATGTTAATAAAACTGAAATTCAATTTTCGATGTCATGCAGTTGGTCATATAATAAGATTTTCTTGCGTATTGAAAGCAAACTGCACGAGCAAATTGGAAAGTTCCCATTGTGACGTCACATGACGTCGCAGTAGCCTTAAGTTGCATCTCAAAATCAAAGTCTAAATAATGCCTTTATTTCATTGTGTAACATGAATAAAAAAATAAAAAATATAAATATAAGAAATAGAATTTCATTATTTAGAGTTTCAATGGGGTATGACATGAAGTCGGGCGTTATAGAATTTGATCACGTGACCGACTTCATGTCATACCCCAGTGAAACTCAAAAAATGATATTTTATTTCTCAAATGAATATCAAACCCATGCATGCAGAGGTGATTATTAATTCTTTGTACTTATTAGACAATGCATCTTGTCGTTTTTTAGTTATATCTGTGAAGATACTCAAAGGTAGTCTAAGATTTAAAATTAGCATTAAATATTATATTTTACATGTATTATCAATTAGGGCTGTGTATTGAGCCAAAGTTTTCGATACGATACGATACAATATTTTTAAAAGTGATATGCGATATATTGAATTCTAAAAAAGTCTATCAGAAGTGGCTTCTAAATCATTTTAATGCATAAATTTTATAATAATTAAGTGTTTTATTACTCATTCTAAAGTTCTTGTCTCATTGTCTTTACAAATAACACTTCAAACTAAAACTTTTGATGACAGTAAAATCAACATGTTCAAATAAATTTCTCTGTGTATTTTGTAATAATTATAAAAACTGTGTTATTTCCTTACAAATCATTTAATTATTGAACAGTTTTAATTCAAAAAAGTAAAATATAATCTTTGGTGATTGAAATTCCCATCTTTTTAACAAAATAAGAAGAAAACTGTCTGTCCGATATGTATTGGAAGTTATTTTTCGATACGATATTTTTTTTTTGAATATCGATACGTATCGATATATTGATATATTGATACAGCCCTATTATCAATGTTCTTAACTTTAATGCGGTTTTTTGATAATTGACTTTTTACCTCATTGACTACGGTGATTAAAATATCAGTGAGATTACACTACGAAAGAATACAATATCTCAGTTTTCGTTGTTTTACAATACGGACAAATTCCGAAATAAATAGAATTTATTTCCTTCCATAGTTATATCATTTTTTAAAGCTCATCATTAGAACTTCAATTTGAAATTTAACAGGTCGGAGAGAATACTCGAAATCGGGTATTATCCGTGAAATCGCGTATAATACCCGATATAAGGGTATCGCCGAATCCGCGAGATCGGGTATAGGAGGTGTAATCACCTAATAAAACTTAAACAATGGGATGGCGCATGTTGCCGAGTTAACTTTCATCTAGATACAAATGTTTTCTAAAGGTATCACTAGCCAAGTTAGAACTTGGGTGTCAAGATTAATGCGCTCAGGACAACAAATATCCGTGAAGCTCAGTACATTTCATGATCTGCACACAAAAAGGCGTTCGATTTGCTTTATATTTTCCACAAGTTTATCTTTTAAAAAAGATAGGTGAGCTAGCGCCGTAGCAATTTTTAAACACTGAAAGAGGGTCCGTTATCAAGTGATTTATTTTGGTGAATACTTTATTGTTTTTCGAGGCTGGAGTGTGATAAAGTTATAATTTTTTTTTTTGTGAAGTGCATTTTATGACACATAGGTAAATAAACTGGGGGGGGGGCAGTTTTGTGTTGACCAATTGGAGTTTCGAATGTGAAGTACCTTGCTCTTTTGGGTCATCTTTGTTTATAACACATAAGATTTTTTTATATAAATAATGGATTTGTTCGTAATTTTAATGTAAATCCTTGTGTTTGGTATTTTTTTGCTTGGCCTACATTGCTGTGATTGCCATCATATAGAATATATTTTTACTGTGAGGTCTTGGCAAGGATGAACCAGGAAACCACTAGGCTAAGGTTATTGTAATAGTAAAACATGTTTTGTGAAGCACTATGTGCCTGGCGGCAATAAAGTTCGTAAAAGCTATTTTTAGCATACTAGTCACAGTAAAGGTCACAAGGTCATTGATCTTGGTGTTGAGAACTTAATTAATCAATGGAGAATTGTGTTATTTGAGAGAACTTAATCAGTGGAGAATGTATACCAAATATGAAGTCTGTATGTCCTATGGTTCAAAAGTTATGGTGCAAGTTGGATAAAGCTATTTTTAGCATACAGAATACAGTCAAGGTCACAAGGTGATTGATCTTGGTGTCATTTATAAGACCTTAATTCGCAGAGTAAGCATACCAAATATAAGTGTCCATTTCTCACCGGTTTAGAAGTTATGGCGAAGTTAAAGTAATGATAAGAGACAGACGGACAAACAGACAGACAGGACAAAAAACCAGTGTAAACCCCTTCTATCAGTCTGGGCACACAAAAATAAAAAGATTGAAATGATACACATATATATCATTTATTGCAATTTTGCAATATTTATTTGTCAGCATACATTTCTAAAAATTGAATGTCGTTTATTTGCTCGGGTTTTTCCGTACAATAGACGGAAGCCAAATTGACCAATGGGAAATTATCTTGGTATGTGCTAAATCGTAAATTTTTCCGCTTCAATGTCGTTTCTTCGTTTAGTTTCCCGCGTGAATGTCTTTTTTTTTCTTTTTTTTTTTTGCTCGGATTTTTCCGTAAGATTGGCTGAATCGACCAATCAGAAATTAGAGTTTATTTTGTGCTTGGACGCAAAAAAAAAAAAAAAAACCTTCGTTTTTGTTTGGAACAATCAGATAATTACTCCCAGGACGGGCTTTTCCGTCAAGAAAAAAGGAAAATTCGCAGTATTACTAAAATGAATAAACAAAGTTATTTAATGATATAACGAAATTGTTATTGAACGGTCTATCTTTAGCAGTTTTCACAGTTCTCCCAGAATGCAACACCGTGAAGTCGAGCATGCGTATTCCATCAATTTGGACTAACGTAGTTGCTAGCGCTCGAGAGCGTTAGCAATAATGTTGAAAGTATATGCATCTTCCTCATGTTCATTTCCAACACAACGGAATTGTAAAGTATCAGAATTCTGGAATTCATAATAATTCCACATCAACACGACAAACATGAACAATTTGTAAATAAATCAAATTATACGGAAACATATTTCACACACAAGATATAATGCCATGTATAAACAAGTGGTTGTCTATCGTATCTAATTATGCGTCATTAATTACTTTCACATTCATCTTGTGCATAAAATCAAATTTATTTATGAATGTATAAATAATGTTATGATAAAAATGTCTAATATTTCGGCTAAAAAAACCTCTTTTTCTGTTTTCTTTTCTTTTTTTTTTTTTTGAATTTTTTTTTTTTTTTTTTATCATTCATATATATTTGCAGAATATGTCTTCAACATTTAAGCAGAGACAGTGATAGTTTCAGGAATACAGCTTATGAGAGAACATAACTGTTGATCGTTTAATTTCGCTATGTCATCAATATTTTACCATTTCTTTGCGACATCAAAAGGGGGAGGGGGCTAAAGGCTTCTTGACCACCTCTGACAAAACGACCTCGACTGTGTTCTGCATGTGTCAAAGAGACCTCTCCTTTCGCAATCATTGAATTAAATGTTAATGTAAAGTTTTTTGCTATATGTCTTTGCATGTCACGGTCGGTTAAACTCGGTTATATATTTTTAATTGTAGGGACGATTTATTCATCAAATAAAAATTATATAGGTAAACAAAATGCAACCTGTTATTTTCTAACACAATATGATACTACAAGTAACTAAAATCCATGTTTACTTTTTAACACTTTTTTTTTCATTATAGATGAGTATTAGGAAAAGTTATTGCCATGAGTAGTAAGTATCACAGATAAAATAACTAAAAGAAAACTGTGACATAGTGATTGTCTAGAACCATTCAGATAGTGCGTTGTATAGCATATTATAATGTTTTAAGATAGCGATATAAAAAATGCGTAAAATAGACAATAGAAGGTAAAATCTACCCTGTCTATCAAATAGTATGATAAAGAAAGGATGTGGCTACAATTTTTATGAAATTTTAATGTCCGATGAGGAATTATATTCCCAAAAATGTGTGACAGATCGGGCTCGGGATGCTATGTTACAACGCGGAATGTAATAACAACGCGAAATGTAATAAACTTGGATTATTACATTTTGCGTTATTACATTTTGCGTC